AGATCGGGACCACAACTTAGAGTTTCATAGTTTCAATTCCCTAATAACTCCAAACTTTAAGAAATCAAACTTCTTTCCTTAAAAATAGATGATAGAAAATAAAGCCTCCTTCAAAGTATTGAGGAACACATGGAGCAACATCGAAAATTCACGATTGCGACGGTGATAAGAAATGATGTGCAGTTCAAACAGTATACAGCTCTTAATAACTGGGCCTTAGTCGGAAAACATTTTGATGAGGCAATGTCCATGACAAAATTGTGACAGAGGCAATGTCCAGGAAAAAAGTATGACTAAGGCAATGTCCATGGTTCAATTCGTTTCCAACGTATTGAGAGTATGCATTAAAACCGAAAATAATGACTGCGCAAGTGCCTCAGTTTGCCCTTTAGTTGCTCCGGCCCTGGATAAGATGCATTTATCGCACTGCCCTTTAATGAGACTTAGCTCCTTGAGTGGACAATTTGGACGAAATTATGGTCTGAAATAAGTTTACTTTTGAAAACAGAAAGGAATACTACGGTAGTTTCTGAAGAAAAAGTGTTACTTTTGTGAATTCTCACTTCAATCCATTCTGTAATTGCGTTATCATCAGCATCAATGCGGGCGTTGACGTCATCTTTGTGATGCTTGGTTGTCGTAACCAGAGTTGGAGTTTCAAAGAATCTCTGAGGGAAGTCAATAGTCTGAAAAAATAGAAACAATTTTTAAGAATGTCAAGGCTTGTGCCAAGGTCTCAAATCTCGGCTACTGCGAGTTGCGTTAAATAAATTAAACTTTGAAACAGCGTGAAGATTTTGTGCCCGGCCACTCTCTCCCTTTTCCCGCCTTTTTCACTCCGGTCGTTATTCTTTAGATGCTACTAAACTCACTTTGCAGAAGCTATAGCCTTTGCTATCATCAGGGCTATAGTTGTTGGGAAAGCTCATTTCATCGGCCAAAGGTAATGTCCAGCTACTCGGTACACTAGAGTTAGTGAAGGCCAAGATATTCTGAAAGAAGACAAAAAAGACTGTGGTTATACATACTATACTAAAACGTGAGTTAAATTCCAAAAGAGACCTGTACACACGCTTGAGTATACAGTATTTTTAGATGGCGTCAGGGCAGCTATTGCTGGTGTTCAAAAACAATGAAACGGCCGCCATGTTGGCGTGTCCAAACCAATCCCGTCGGAGTTGAATTTTTTTCTCTGTCTTATGTAAACACTTTGTATTGTTCTAATAAATTTGCTTGGCTGCTGGCCACGCAAGTACTCTACATGTATATTCAGTAACCTAACAGATGTTGTACGAAGACAACTATTTTTAATGCAAATTTGTTTACATTTTTGTTATAGGAAGACAGACACTCACTTTTCAATTTTTAAATAATTTTCAATCTTTAGTTTTGAATTCTGAAGTAGCAATTCTCCGTCAAGTCTTGAATATGAAAGGACTGTTATTTCATCAACAAGATCTCTAAATATTTGTCTACAAAAGCCCCAAATACTTACCACAGACAGGTATTTGTGTGCACCATCAAAGTTTTTCAACTCGCGAAGACATGCTCTGAAATTATATCTAGTAACATCTTCCGCCCAGACGCTTGCGGCGTCATGTTTGTTTGCAACAGGATGGACAGGGGTTACGAACACGTACGGAGCTGTGGCAAAAGGCTGGAGAAGGAATAAAAACCTTAACGGGTGAGACCAAATACCAAAAGGGAGCTTACGTAAACCACGACGGCAATGGCAAAGGCAACGGCAACGACACCGTCACCAAACAGAAGGCTAAGCAATGGCTGTACACATGCGTTATAAATCTTTGTGCATTTCTCAACTGTTCTCTGTAAAATCACCAGACGTGAAACAAAAGGCAAAACAATGGCTGTGCACATGCGTTATAAATCTTCGTGCATTTCTCAACTGTTCTCTGTAAAATCACCAGACGTGAAATGATCAGAAGTTTTGAGCATTTTGAAAAAACGTGAACTACTACAGATAATTTTTCCTATTATTCCTGTATTATTTTCCTTCTTGAATTAAATTGATCGCCGACGCTACATCGTTAAGTGGAGTAGGACTTAAAACCGCTCGGCTTATTGAACTGTTCTAGATAATTGCGAGGTAAAAAGATAAAATACAAATCCATTTTTTCCAGCCATCGACCTTGCCGTCGCCGTCGTCGTTGCTTAAAGGAGCTCAGTCACCGTTTGCACATTTTGAAAAGGTTAGCCTAAATTTTTTCAAATTCGTCGTTTGCAATCCGTGGCAATCTTCGCCATCCTTGACCATCCTTGTTCTTTTACGGTTTATTATTATCTCTTTGATGTTTTTCTATCTTAGTAAACTATTATTTTCAGGTTTCCTTCCATTTAAAGGAGATTTTGTACGTGGCCAAACAAAAGACAAAACACCGTGACTGGGCTTCTGTAAGCTCCTTAATATTTTGGGTGAAGCCCTAAACTTTCATAGACGGTAGGTTTGACTCGAATAGCTGTTATTGCAGTTGAGTCTGCGGTCAAATATTCTTTTGTTTTAAAAGGCGTGCAAACGAGGCGAAAGGGTCAATACAATGCAGAATTGACCCTTTCCCCTCGTTTGTATGTCGAGCCGCTGATAACTACAATAACAGCTATTGTTCACGACCTGACGTATGTTTCTAACCAATATCTTTCTTGAAAGAGCCAAAATAATTTCCGTTGAATCATTGATATATAGTTTCCAGAAAGTTTTCGAGGCCAGCAAGATAATGCAAAAGAGTTTAGTCGTTTCCTTGGGTTTTTGCTCGTGATAGAGAGGGCAATATACAACGCTAATAATTTACCACAAAGGCGGAAAAAAGGATTTTATTTAGTACCAGCAAAAACAGAAGGGTTTTCTCTGCAAACAGCTGATCCATTTAGTAACCGAACGTTTTGCATTTTTTTTTTTTAGTTTTGTAATTTTAATGTTGCGTCCTGCAAATGGGCTACTCTACGTTATTGTATTTATTTTAATATTTACTAACCTTTGGAAAATCTTCCCGAACGCACTCAGTTCCTGTGGTCCACATCGGAATATTGACTTTCCTCTCATATGCGCCGTTTGAAACAGTTCGATAGGCAATCCACTGCAAAGACACAGTCCTGGATCCAGCGATCGCTCCGGAGGTGGCAACACATCCTTGAAAACTGTATATTGCAAAAAGCTATTTAGTACTCCGCGAAATTCCGGCTAACACAGGTTTTTTTAACGATCACATTTTGTTCGTACAAACTTTTGTCTTAAAACTGCTTGAAACTTAATAATTAGTGAAACCCTGTAGATTTTCGAGTATACGAGATGTTGCTTTGATTTTCAGCAATAACTGCTGACTCTAGATCTCTGGGTGGAAAAAGCCCCAAGGAGACCATACTCAGTTCGAGTTCTAACCCACGCCACTCAAATGGTGCCTAATACATCTGACCCTGGTTGTTCGAAAAGTAAATAGGGAGTTTAAAAAACCACGTCGGCTACGCCGAGGACAACGTTGATTAAAAAAGGAATTTATATTTTATCTATGAATCTCGCGGTACTCTAAAGTCACTCTCTATGTTCATTACAGTCAAAACTATCACAAAAGTAAAACTAAAACACAGCGGTAAATTTGAAATATAAACTTGAAAAATTAGCCGTTGTGGATCACGTTCTTTAGACAACGCATAATTTGGTCATTTCACGTTGTTTTGCCGAGGACGGCAAAGAAATTTACCAGGATTATTATAACGCACGTGCACAGCCATTGTTCTCCTCGTTAAACATTTTGTTCAGCGACGTTACCTTTGCCTTTGTCGTCGTGATTTTCTCACTCCCTAATAGCGCTATATCCACTGGCTAAGTCACTATCCATTTAATAGCATGGTTTGTTTTGTCAATAACCAGTGGACAGCGATTTATCCGGTGGATAGCATTATCCACCTTTCGAACACTTGGGTACTGGTTTAAGTTCCCAGGCCACGGGTAATCGTGCCACGCCCTTTCAATAATCAGAGCTGATATTTTTGTCGCTAAATCAGAGAATAATGCCCCGTCCACACTACACCGGAGAAAATTGACAACGTAGCTTTATTTCTCTGGACAGGCCTTCCGTCCACACTAATCCGTCACGAAAACGCTCTTCACACCGGAGGAATTTGAGAACGCCTGCTTTATTTGCGTTTTAGTCTGGACAGAAAACATTTTGAAAACGATTCGTTTCCAAAACGATCACAGTTAGAAATCGTGACATTTCCCTCCCAGAGTTATACTGAAACACAAATCCTAAATGACCGGTGATATTGTTGCGTTTTCAAATTTCTCCGGCGTAGTTTGGACAGAAAACATTTGATGCGTTATCTGCAGAGTGAAACCTCCGTTTTCAAACTCCCTCGCCGTAGAGTGGACGGGGCTCATGCATATATTTTAAACAATCATTTCTTCTAATTCATTTGATTTTCTTACCCTGATCTCGAGGCACTCCCTATCCAGGTTACAGCTGCCTCGTATTTCTTAGATGTAACAGCCAACTGCACGCGAACGTCGTCAGAGGAGAACTCTGGGTCAAAGGGAAATATTTTGCAGTCATAGTCTTTACCTTGTAGGACATGTATGTCTCCAGATCCAAATAGCATTCCATTTGAGCCTGACAAAGAAAAAACAAGAGAGGAAAAATGTACCATGGTATAAAACTATCAGAACACAACTGAACCTAACCGACGGCAACATAACTCAAGTAAAGGTGGCCAGACGCCACATTTGCAGACACATTTTCATGTGTGTGCAAATGTTGTGATTCTGTCCCTGTTACGTGTCCCCACTACACGTCCCTGCTACATGTCGCCTCAGTGTGTACCACATACGTTTTTGTCGTTGCAACATGTTGCTGCAACATATTCCCTGCAACATGACCCCTCGTGTCTGGCCACCTTAAAGCAAAGAGGACCGGTAGAAGACTTCAATCAGAAATATACAAATGGACACTAAGTGACGAACGGAGCTAGACAAATTAATGTTAGTTCTTGCTTATTGCTTTCTTTCCGCCGTTAAATTTTCAAATGGCTATATAGGCCACTTATTCAACTTTGAAAGGAATAAAGTTTCTTAACTTTGCTTCTGCTTCGCAATTCGAAAGATCCTGAATCAGTATGTAACAGTAACTTTCCTCCGCAATTCCAACTTCACAGCGTCACGGAAGTAATTATTGAATTGAACAAGACGCCCAAAGAAATGAGTTTTAACGGCAAGGTTTTTTTAAAATGAGATTGCTAGATTCTTTCCATTACAAGCAAATATTGACACGAACCAAGTCCTGCAGGTCAACTGTTCTTTAACTTTCCAGTGACAAAGAAAAAATATCGATTTTGTAAAAATGTATATCACAAGATACGACACTCGGTCGAACATTTATTTTCTGCTTTCGCGAACAAATGCTTCCGTCAACTTGAATAATGTACGTTCAGATACTATTACAGAGAAACTGAATTGAAAGTCTTCCCGTTCATAAGCACTGAAATGAGGTAAAATCCCTAATTATCAATATACTAACCTGAAATTCGTCCAAAGACAACAAATGAGAGTGTGAAAACTCTTGCAAAAACTAGAAGATGGCACATGACCGAACCAAACTCTGACACTGCAAAACACGGTGGCCGACTCCCTGACCTCGGTAGACGAAGAAAGAAACTGTGGTAACGAAAGGAAAAAAAAAAAGGTTAATAAATATAGCTGAAAAACAAAAGCAAAGGTTGCAAGACGCACCCGTTCAGTAAACGTGACAACCGCACGAAACTTTGCAACGTAAAAGTTTTAAATACAAACGAACAAAGGGTATTCAAACAAAATAACCATTCTCATAGAAATTTAAATTTTGCATGGTAGTGGAACGCACGCTCCAATGTGAGAAATTATTGTCAGGTTCATTACTTTTAAGCTAGTCCTTTGTTGCAAACTGTACAATTTCTGAAATTTTTCGCGCAGGAAATAAGCGTGTGGACAGCGAGGAAAGCTAACTTTTCTTTTATCGAAAAATAAAAATGTGGGAATTGTAATAGTGCCACTGAGGAATAAAAGCCAAAAATTAAAATGGAAACTTCCCTTCTTCAGCTGCTCAAATTTGGTGCGAAAAATTAAGGCGGCACGTCAAAACAATACCGTGCGAGAAAAAAATCCACCAACAGTTAAATTTCGCACGTTTTCTTAATTTTTTTCAACGAGTGAACTAGGGTGTGACAGACACGTATGCGAAACTCTTGCACATGTTGTTGTTGACTGCGCTGCAAAGAATAAGTCGCCAAAAAAATATCGTCCAGTATCCAGAATTTGGGAGAGAGTAAACATACTTTATGAATAGTAATATTATCGTTTTAAAAATTTTAAGAGGTGAAGACAAATTTTACTGAAAAGAAAAGAAAACAAAAGTGCTCTCGGTGTACTGGATGGAATTTTATTTTGCTAAATGTTTGATGTCAGGTTCTTTCTGCTAAACTGAATGACTACAGCTTCATTTCCGCTGACGAAGACGACGGCTGTTACAACTCGTCCTTCGACGACTTTGACGAAGAAGAAGACGAGGACGACAAGGAGGAAGAAAGGAAGGACGAAAAACCGTCTCACCGTGGACGTCGTAGAAGAGGCAAGTGACGGGATCAGTTCTGTGTTATGGGAATGTATTAGGCAGCGTCCACAATACACTGGGAAAATTTGAAAACGCAGCCAGCAGCTTTAATTTATTTCTATGGTTAAACCTACCGTCCACGCTAAATTCACGAAAACTGAGCTTTTCAAAAACGATCTTGAAACCGGAGGAATTAAAAAAA